CAAAGCCTGGGAGAGCTGCTGTGGAGAGTGATTCTAAAGACTGTAATTTTTATTTAAACCAAAAAAAAAACATTGTGTTATACTTGCCTCTTCTGTGCAATAGTTTTGCACAGAGCAGCCCCGATCCTTTTCTTTTTGGGTCCTGGCTCCCTCTTCCCCGCAAAGTCCTCCTATGATATTATCTATTTACACACACAGCGCGGCTGAGCCCTGCCCCCTGCTCTCTCATTGGCTCACTGGCTGTGATCAACAGCAGTAAGAGCGAATGGCTCCCGCTGCTGCGTGAGCCAATGAGGAGAGCGAAACCCAGGACAGCTGCTGCTCTCATGCACATTGCTGGATCGAGTTGGGGCTCACGTAAGTATTTGAGGGGTTGAGGGTGGGAGTTGCACCCAGAAGGTTTTTTACATCCGTGCTTTGAAATGCATTGGTAAAAAAAACCTTCTACCTGTAGAGTCACTTTAAGGTAAAGAAGTGTTTGTTTTAGAACCACTTTAATAACTTGGATACAAACCGCAATCTTTGTTTCTTTTTTCATACTTAAACAGTTGGTGTAAACTGTGTTAACCTAGGCTGGAGATTGCTTGGTTTCCTTTACATCTACTGCTTTAGGCTGCCCTTTTGCAATGCGAATCTGCAGCACTGGTTACCAGAGGAGATCGTTTGCATTCAGAATCAAGTTTTAAATGTCATAGTGATTCTGTCTTCATGTCCATCACTCTTCTGTGTCATCCATTTTATAGCTTGCAAATAGGGCTGTAGATCAGTTTGAGACATTGCATATCCACAAAAATACCTTTTAGAGGCAGCAGCGGTTACACAGTGTAGATATCTGGTTGGTTATTTTTGTAGCCTGTGGATACAATGCCTGTGGTAGGTTTCACTTGATTCCAGCCAGAATAGATATATTCGTCTGAATGTTATCAAGACTCTTGGCCTATAGGCTGAAAAGTGATAAACGTTTAGTGATTTAGTTTATGGCCCCTGCATGCTGGGTATGAATGTTAATTGATGTAGAACTTCCTCCCTGCCATCTAACTGACAGATGTCTAAGTATTGTTTGTCCATAAACACCCCATTGAAGTGAATATCCTCTTTACAAAAGTGCTGTCAGGTGCACATTGACATTTCTATGCAGTTGAGCATCTTGTCTGAGATGTTATTTCTCTGTCCCTTAACTATGGTAATGAATTGGACTCTATAGTGTTCCATATGTGAAGATACTTTTTGATATGCTGTACTTTATAACAGTGTGCTGCAGTGTGCTTAAAAGTATTAAACCTAAAAACAAACATTTATTATATTGCCGTTTACCAAATCTTAGGAGTAATGGCTGTGTTAGTTTCCTTTTTTTAAGCTTTCTTCTGTTTTCACCCAGTGATTTGGAGTAACTCTATTGTTTTTTGAAAGAACACGCTCGCTCAGATGCATCAGTTTACTGCCAAATATTTAACACTGTCAGGGGTGCTTACAATGTTTGGCTTTTCTTTATTAATGTAAATCCTTTATCCCAAAAGGAAAACAACCTGCTGTAACTGATTAGAAAGTGTGAGCTGGAGATTGGCTTAAATTTGTTAGTGTATTTAAATCTGCTAGTACGTTTAACTCCTCCTCTCAGTCTACTATACCCCTTGTGTGCCTTCATCCAGAATGTACTAATACAGGAGATGTGTTACTAGACAGATCACAAGGTGAAAACAGAGGGGAAGAAGCCAAAAAAGAAAACTAATGCAGTCACCACATCTAATGATTGGCAAGCTGCAATTTGAAACCTTTTTGGTTTTGAGTTTAACACTGTAGCAAACTTGCTCATCCCTGTTGGAGCGGAGTTCCCCTGTTCCTTGCTGTATCTGAGGCATTCCTCAAATCACTCCTCACACCCCCTGCATTCCTGTGAGGCAAAGGTTATCTTCTGGCAGATGGTGTGGGGGACAACCAGGAAGACATGAGAAGTGGAGCCAGCCAGTCTACAAAGGTGTCACTTTTATCACCCAAAACTATGTAGGCCCACTCATTATCAAACCAACCAGAATAAGTGCACAGTCCTCAGATCAAATGTATGGTTCATATCACGGGATATGAGCTGGTAGTTTAGTGTAGAGTTTCCCAATGACCACTCCCAAGTCAGAGCCCCTTCCCTTCCCCTGAGAGACCTATTAAGAGAGTTAGAGTTTGTGACACACTCACACACACAGGGATCTCCGAGCAACATCGTAACAGAGGAGATCAAAGAACCTTTCGGCTCACAACTTGAATTTGCTAAAACCAGGCAAGGCAAGTAACTTACCCTGTATTTTCTCGCTATTCTGTTTGCTGTGTCTTTGTATACATATATATATATATTCTTGTGTCATCTCTGTAACTATTTATTTGCATCTGTTTGACTCTGTTAGAAATAAATCTTTCTTTCTGAAAGTGTTAAACTGTTTCTAAGCACTTACTTGCAATTCACGAATCCCTGCCTTTGAAGAGACGCTACGGTTTGTCATATATCTCTGTATAGCAAGGTCCGCGGGCCGTGCTATATAGACCAATATTTCAATCATTATAGTGTATATTTAGTAACGGGAGTTTCCCAGTCTCCGACAAAAGTGGTGGTGGCAGTAGAGGGTTAGTTGCGTAACTAACCTGACCCAGTAACAAGCGCATCCAGGTTGCAGGCACCGATTGTAGTCCATTAGCTGGGCAATCGCTGTGTAGGGTGCAGCTGGGTGGGGCCTTGTTACGCGCGTCACACCGCGGTTTTGGATCGGCCAGCCCTTCGGTCACGAGTTTGGTGAGAAGGTCTGGGGTCTGACGCCGTGGGCGTGACGTATTACTGTTAGTCGCGGCTGTGCGATTGTCGCCTGTTGGTGGCGGTGACCGCGGGTCGTGACATATTGTTGGCAGCGTACGTGGGATGATTGCAGTAAGAGCTTCAGTGCAGTGTTAAAAGTTGGCTCTGCACTGAAGGATTGTAACCTCTGTGGAAACAGTCCTTAGAAACAAGCGGTGCATATTTTATTTTATATATATGTGTGTATAGAGAGACACATAGCAACAGCTATTTTCTTTCCAACTTTTCTCTTCTATCTTATCTTTGCTTGCAATTATGCCTGGTGAAGCAGATTACGAGAAAATGAGCAAAGCTGATTTGAAAGTTGAATGTGCCTCACGAGGATTGGACGTCGGTCGCAAAACTCGTGAAGATTTGATTAGTGATCTTGTGGAGTATGATATCCGAGCAAATCAGAACTCGGGGGAACTTGAACATAGAGGGGTTCCCGTTACCCACATTGCCAGTGGCTCAGAGACGGCCTCACAGGATGGGCATACAGAGACTGACACTGGAGGATCACCAAAGGTTAACGTCACACCACCGCCTGAGTGCGCTAACACCGTGGTGCCTGGAACCAGCAGAGACTCTCTCAGATGCAGGAGGCCTTGAAACGCCTCATGGAGACAGATCTGGAGGCATACCTGCGGTTCATGGAACGCCAGCAGCGGCTGACAGAGAAACTGCAGAGCGCCAAGCAGCGGCTGAGAGAGAGTGGAACGCCAGGCCGAGAGAGAGGCGGTGCAGAGGGAAGCTGATCGTCGGCATGAGCTGGAGATGGCAAGGCTCCAGCAGCGACCGGGTCAGAACCTCGGGTCCCTAGATCACAGGGACGGCACTCTTTCCGTGGGCGCAGCCAAGTTTCCAGTGATGGAAAAGGACAGTGACATTGACACATACTTACTGTCCTTTGAAAAAACGTGCCGTCAGTACCATGTGCCCCAAGCTCAATGGGTTCGGTACCTGACACCAGGGCTACAAGGCAAGGCCCTGGAAGCGTTTGTTGAATTGCCAGAGGGGCAAGATGATGACTATGAACGTTTAAAAAATGCCATTATCCGGAAGTACCAGATGACCCCGGAAGTGTACCGCAAGCGGTTCAGGTCCATGCAGAAAGGACCTGGGGACTCTTACACGGATGTGGCAAGTCGCTTACGTACCACATTCCGACAGTGGACTAAGGGACTGAAAGTTGATTCTTATGAATCTTTGGAGGATCTCATGATCAGAGATCAACTCCTGCACATTTGTCCAGCAGACGTCAGACAGTTCGTCTTGGAGAGGGAGCCAGCATCTACTACAGCTGCAGCAGACCTGGCAGATACCTTCGTCCACACGCGAGTGCCTGAACCTCGCAAGGCTCCTCCAAACAGCTGGAAAGGGGGGAAATCGTCCCTAGCAACCTCTCCTACTTCGGTGAGTCAAGCTTCACCTCCGCCCAACCCTGCAGCGCTTGGAGCCAAGCCATTCCTGCCTGACACCCGCAGATGTTTCACCTGTGGGAAAGCCGGACATCTCAGGACGCAGTGTCCTGAGCAGAAGCAGATGACATCATCTGGCCAGCCGGCCAGCATCTCTTTCTGTGCTGTTCGTTCGCAGGAAGATGCGGGTAAACCCCGCCAACTTGCAGCCCGTTACCGTGGGCAACCGGTCTGCAACTGGTTTCCGGGACACCGGGGCAGACGTCACTTTGATCCGACCAGAGCTGATTGAGCCACAGAACCTCATCCCAGGAAAGTTCCTGACCCTCACAGGAGTTGGGGGGACCCGTTCACGCACACCCTGTGCAAAGGTATTCCTAGATTGGGGTGCGGGGAGGGGGATGAGGGAGGTGGGGGTCTCGGATAAACTGCCCACCCCTGTTTTGTTGGGTGCTGACCTAGGCACTCTTGTTTCATATTACGCCCCTGCCGAGAAGACCCGGAAGGGCCCCCTGGAACTCTCTGGACAAGCCAAGGAACTGTGGACAGATATTGGGGTAATGTCTGGGCCACCGGTGGATGGACAGAGGGTGGGGGCTGGGAATGGTGTGGGGCTGCAGGAGTCTCCATTAGCTGGAGAACCAGAAGAAATCCCCTGGCCTGGGGAGGTATTGGACTCATGTGTCCCTGATATTATGAACATGACTGTTGAGGATCGTTGTGGTGACACTGAGGGTGATCTTACTAATGTTAGCAACATTGGGAATACAGTCTGGAATGTCAGTAATAATATCAGTAGCATTGATGGAATGTCAGTAATAATATCAGTAGCATTGATAGGAATGTCATGGGTCATATCAGTAGCATTGATAGGAATGTCATGGGTCATATCAGTAGCATTGATGGTAATGTCATTGATAATGTTTGTATTGTTGACGGCAATGTTGGTAATGCTAACAATGAGATTTGTGATGAAACAAAGGATGCGTTTTCAGTGTTGGGGGCTGAGGTACAGTCTCTGGAGGCTGAGCAAGGGGATTGTCTGGATAGGTCTGTCCCTTGCCCAGGCTCAGAAGATTGTGCCTTGATAAGTGCCCAGCCGTTGGCCTTGCATAGGACTAGGCAGCTGGCTGAGACTTATAGTTCCACGCCTCAGGCAGCACTGAAAAGCGATTCCCAAAGGAGCTTCAGAGGCCCGCTAACTGTGAGTTGCCCTACTAAGGAAGGCACACCACAGCTGGCTGGGACTTGCAGTTCCCCCACTTCAGGCAGCCCTGAAAAGTGAGTCCCAACGGACCTTCAGAGGTAAGCTGGCTGGGACTTGCAGTTTCACACTTCAGGCAGCCCTGAAAAGTGAGTCTCAAAGGACCTTCAGAGATAAGCTAAATGAGCTTTGTAGTCCCACAGGGAAGACTGCTCTGGAAAGCCATTCAGATGGAAATTTTATTCCAGGGCTAGGTGTGAGCCCCCCTGCTGAGGAGAGTAAACAAACGAGCAAGGAGGCTAGAATGACTGGCCTAGTCAGTGGGGGCTGGGAGCCTGAAAGCCTGTCAGTTAATTTCACTTGTCAAGGTGTGTTCACAGGCAGACAGACAGAGGTCAGAGGCAGCAGGCCTGGATTACGAGTGGAAGGAAGGTTGATGCTGGGGTTACAGAGAGAGGGCCTCCGGGCCCAGACCCAATCACCCTTCCCTAGCACTCGGGGTCCGGAGCGGCTGCCCAGGCCTCCGATAGATGGTGTCTGGATTCAGAAGGTGCCGGCTGATTGGGCCACAGAGGCAAAGGGAATGGCACAGTCAGGAATCCAGGGATCAGCTAGAGTCTGGGCAGTCCTAATGGTCGCGGTCCTCCAGCAGGATACGATGACCAGGCTTTCTGAGAGCCTTGGGAAACTGAACACCAGCCCTGGGTTTGTGGCCTACCCCATGCCCAGGAGCCATGAGGCAATGGAGCATCCGGAAGGTGCCTACTGTTTTGCCATCATGGGCCTGAGCAAGGAGCCTGGGCCACCATCTCTAACCCAGCAAGCTCCAGACGAGCCAGCCTTCACTACCCCATGTGGCTTGCCTGAATCCTTGGGAAAGCTAGTTGGGGTTGAGAAGGCACTGACAGCCACTCCTGCGGTCAGGAGTGGCCCGCAATGCACAGTGGACCTGGGTGCCGTTGTCCACTGTAGGGGCCTCGCGGTGCTCAGCCCTGTCTGGGAAGAGCCACTTGCGCCCCTGTCACTAGGCGGGAACAAACCGCCTGTGCCCAGTCCGACAGCCCAGAAGGGTAACTGTCAGAGGGGCATGTCAGTGGTTCAGTTTAGGAACCCATCAGTAAGAAGAGACCCCCAGAGGTCTGGGCATGGGGAGACCGAGGCAGTTGAGGCCTGGTCTGCTCCCCAGGCCAAGAAGCAGGTTACGTCAGTCGCAGGTACAGCTGGCTACGGTAAGACGCCTGGATGCGATGATCATGGCTCAGCTGGGCCTGTGACTGACCTGGCAGACAGGAAACTGGAGGAACCGGTGTCCTGGATGCTAGCAGGTAACAAGGACTGTCCATCTTGGATGAAGGTACCTGTGGACACCACTGGGAGGCGAGGCCCAGAATTCGCCTGTCCGGTTCCGGTGCACACGGACGCTACTACCTTCAGGCCAGATGTAGTCCTAAGCCTGAGGAAGAAGGTAGGAGAGGGAAATCTTCTTCTTCTCTACCTCGACAAGAAGCTACATATTAATATGTTAGCAAAGGACACCCCTGAGCCAAAGTGTTTTGTGAACAGGTGGGCACCCCGGCAGTTGCCACAGGATTCGGATAGCCACAGCCGACTGGTACCCACCCGTGACCACTCACTTGGTCGGCCCAGCAGTGCTGCTGGGGAGAACGGCTTCCGGTTCAGACGGAATTCGGTTCTCCCGCAGTACAGCGGTACCAGGACGTCCCAAGAGGAACCTCTGGACAGATGTCGGTTGCGTCAGGAGAGAACTTGTAGCTCACTCCTTGGCAACCACTTAAGGGGGAGGTGTGGCAAACTTGCTCATCCTGAATTGGAGCGGAGTTCCCCCTCAACCCTCTGTTCCTATCTGTTTATCTGAGGCATTTCTCAAATCACTCCTCACACCCCCCCTGCATTCCTGTGAGGCAAAGGTTATCTTCTGGCAGATGGTGTGGGGGACAACCAGGAAGACATGAGAAGTGGAGCCAGCCAGTCTACAAAGGTGTCACTTTTATCACCCAAAACTATGTAGGCCCACTCATTATCAAACCAACCAGAATAAGTGCACAGTCCTCAGATCAAATGTATGGTTCATATCACGGGATATGAGCTGGTAGTTTAGTGTAGGGTTCCCAATGACCACTCCCAAGTCAGAGCCCCCCCTTCCCCTGAGAGACCTATTAAGAGAGTTAGAGTTTGTGACACACACACACACACAGGGATCTCCCGAGCAACATCGTAACAGAGGAGATCAAAGAACCTTTCGGCTCACAACTTGAATTTGCTAAAACCAGGCAAGGCAAGTAACTTACCCTGTATTTTCTCGCTATTCTGTTTGCTGTGTCTTTGTATACATATATATATATTCTTGTGTCATCTCTGTAACTATTTATTTGCATCTGTTTGACTCTGTTAGAAATAAATCTTTCTTTCTGAAAGTGTTAAACTGTTTCTAAGCACTTACTTGCAATTCACGAATCCCTGCCTTTGAAGAGACGCTACGGTTTGTCATATATCTCTGTATAGCAAGGTCCGCGGGCCGTGCTATATAGACCAATATTTCAATCATTATAGTGTATATTTAGTAACGGGAGTTTCCCAGTCTCCGACAAAAGTGGTGGTGGCAGTAGAGGGTTAGTTGCGTAACTAACCTGACCCAGTAACAATCGCATCCAGGCTGCAGGCACCGATTGTAGTCCATTAGCTGGGCAATCGCTGTGTAGGGTGCAGCTGGGTGGGGCCTTGTTACGCGCGTCACACCGCGGTTTTGGATCGGCCAGCCCTTCGGTCACGAGTTTGGTGAGAAGGTCTGGGGTCTGACGCCGTGGGCGTGACGTATTACTGTTAGTCGCGGCTGTGCGATTGTCGCCTGTTGGTCCTATGGATTTACCGCATATGAATTGTACTCCATCTCATAATGAGCTACCTGGTATGTGAATATCCTAGCAGCAGGCCCAGGCATAATCACATACTGGACATCAGCTTTCCGCTGCCTGCTGCTTTTAGGTTTTTTTTTTTTCCCCCTTCTTCATTGTTTTCCCTTTTAAGGAGTATGTAAGTACCAAAGGTAGTCTGCACTCATCACTACCAGAAAGTGTTGAAGCTGGCGGCAGTTAACTCCTGCAAGAAGAAAAAGCAGGCCCCCTGGTGGTGGAAACCATAATGTGCTAGTATGCAACGCATACTTACACATTATGGCAGGCTTACCTTTTAAAACGCAGCTCTCCAGTGTCGTGCTGTCACCGCTGATGGGGCTTCCTTCTGGGTTTGTGGGCTTCAGCCGTTTGAATGGGCGGGCCATGATGACATCACTCCCATGCATGCGCACAGCTGTAGCACAGCGCCCTGAATTGATGGCATATTCGGTGTGGTGTCACCGGCTTCTTCCAGTGTTTATATCTCCTAAACAATGCATGTTTGTGATGCATTCACTGTATCTACAGATAGGCCTTATTATAGACTTAACTGTAGTTACACATTATAAAAAGAACTGAGGTTACGAACGCTTTAAAGTTGTATTAAACCCACTACCAAAAATGGTTATCAATCATTAGATGTGGGGGCTGAATTCGTTTTTTTTTTTTTTTTCTTAGAAAACAAATGAAACCATCACCTCTAAGAAATATTTAGCAGCATTCTGATTGCTTTCGGGGGTTAATACTGCTTTAAAGTGGTTCTAAAGTCTAAACTTTTTTTTTTTTTCTGTATTGAGGTAAAAATCCCCCACTGTTTGTCCTACCTCTACCTATCCCTAAACACTTACCTGGCTTAAAGGTGCAGCTCCAGCACTGTTTCCCTCCCTTCCTGGTTTCACAGGAGGAACTGAGGGCAGCAGAGCTATTTGCTACTGTCAGTCATACCCCTGTGTGGAGGGAGGGAGGGGAGGGAGGGCATGGCTTACTGGAGCTGGGTCTGTCTTTGGGCACACACCATCCAACTCTAGAACTTAGGTGCCTCCTTAGCCAGCTGGGGACTACCAGAAGAGGAGGTAAGAGACCTTTTTCTGAAATGTTGCAGGGAGATGGTAAAAAAAAAACCCTGTATTGTTTAAAAAAAAAAACCCAAAATAAAACACCTTTACAGCTCACAGCACTTTTTACCCATATTCGGGAAGTAACATGGTGCCCTGGAGATTGGCGATTGCAGTGTTTTGCGGGCTCAGATTTAAAAAAAATTAAATAAATTACGTTTTGGGTTTTTTTTTGTCTAATATGGATGATTTTATAAACTTTTTGTAAAGGTGGAACAATGTCTTTAATTCAGGCAGTCAGGCAAGTAGCACGTGCAGGCTATTGTAGTGGCATCCATCAAATTTTTTAGACCTTTTTTTTTTTTTTCCCTACCTGTTTCAAAAACTGCTAGTAGGCTTTTAACAAGTTCAACTAGTGCTGAAACTAGCTGACAGCATGCTGAAGCCTGATGCCAGCTTGCTTGAAGTGACATCCATTAGTCCCATTGCGATCTATGTTTAACATCGTCATATTAGAGCTGAACAGAGAGTAAAAAATGTGAACCTCTTGAAGCCTGTTGAAATCCTTGCCAATACTTTGTAAAAGTTTGTATCCTCATGGTACTTGTACTTATACAAGCTGAAGCCCATGTGTTCAAGGCCTAATAATTCACTAAACCTTTTGGATATTTGTTTTTATTTGCTTTTTGGGTATTCTTTGGTGATTAATTGCTTCAGACCTATTAGAACAAGTTTAAACTTTGACAGTGTTTTTTTTTTTTTCTTTTATGCACAGTGCATTTACAAAATAAGTGTGTGTGTTTGTGGCGTTATATATTGATGGCCTCCAAGGCTAAAAGCTAACTTTATCATGACAGTGGCCAATTACAACTCTATACATGAATTAGTAGTGTCATTACACTCAATTAGCAAGGCTGCCACATAATCTGCTTAATGCTCTGTTCTTTTTTTTTTTTTTTTTTTTTTTTCCCCCTAGGGTTTTGCAGACAGCCCTCAT